TGCCCCCCCACACAGCCACACCTCTTCACAAACCCCCCCACACCCCACCGTACACATCCCCCCCACCATATACACACACATGCAAACACATACCCCAAACCACCCCCACACCATAAAAGACTGAGAATTTATTTTTGAATTATTATGCGATCGCCTCTACGTACAGTACCCAAACACAAATCATGACAAAAATATTTTTTGTAATCAGATTAAAATGTGTTATAATAGGTATTTGACTTTTAGTGTATGACTTGTTTTTTTCTGGTCCAAAAAGGAGTATTTCCAGGGGCCAAGGGGAGGAATTTCTGATGGCAGTGGTCAGGAGTTAGGGGTGGGACTTCCATTCCCAAGATGGTGTCCAGGGGGCGGGGCACCTGTCAAGGGGCGGGGCTATGCATGCAGCCCTTGACAGCTCACCAAAGCTCATTAAGCGGTCCTCCGCCTGAAATAACTGCCTGCCCCTGTGTTGGGGTATAGACATATCAACAATTTCCTGAACATAAAAAGCTTTGCTGTGTCAGTTGCTCTGTGGTAACTGCCTGTGTGCGTGGTCTTTCTCTGTGGGTGGGTAAAATTGAATTTACCCATCTTTCACTGAAGGCTAGCTGCCACGGTTTAGCTTCCCCACCTACTAAGAGCAAGCACCTGTGCAGTTATTGCAGAGCAGCTGATGTGTGGCAAAGCCCTATCCCTTCTGCCCTGTGGTGGATTCACACCAGACATCTTCCAAGTTTTCAATCTTACTTGATGTTATAATGATACTCTGTTACCACTGGTACTTTACTAGATAGAGCCCCTTCTTTATTTAACATTAGGTATCTTATGGCTAATTCTCTCCATCTCTTCTTCTTTTGCCATAGGGGTTGAAATTCTTTCATCTTCCAGGATGCTCCCAGCACCAAATTAACAAGCAACTCCAAGTTACAGCTGCATTTAAGCAAAGTGTCACCTGAGAGTGGAGGATAAAAAATGCATGCCAACTCAGAAGAGTATTTAAGAGTCAGCCCCCACTCAGTGTGGGCTATGAACTTACGAGACTTATTTCCTTAAGGACGGGGAATTCTGGATCTGACACCTTTGTGTTCACGTTGCTGCTCTCCGTAGCGCATAGGGCACAGCTGTCACTGATGGCATCCAGTGAACAGCAAATATTGATGACTCCCGTCTCTTCCTTGTCTTGTCCTGGTTCTCCTTTGCTCTAAGCTCAGTGTCCTTTCTCTCTACAGACATGACTGTGTTCTTAGCAAAAAATGTGTCCGAGGTTTTATTAGCATTAGCAAGCATGACTTCCCTCCTGTGCCATTTCGACCATATACCATTTCTCAATTTCCTTCTAATTAGCATGGTGGTATGTTGGCAATTTCTGAATGACTTGTTTAGGGAAATCCTGCAAATAACACTCCTCCTTTGGAAAATCTTTTCAGGGGTGAATTGACTTGTATGCTGGAAGACATTAGTCATACCCCAAGTACTGATTCAGTCTGTCTGAAGTCTTGTACTTGGTTATAATGAGACAGTATATGGAATAAAAAAACCCACTTGCATGTAAATATTTGAGTGAAAAGGCCTCATTACTTGTCAGGGTACTAATCACCCCCCAGTACTGCACTGTCTGTTTTTTGTTGTTGATTACAAGAAACGTAGTGACTGTGCCTAGCAGGAGGCAATGATGATTCTCTTTGACTCCATCCATGTACTTGGGGGGGCTGTAAGATCTGCTCTTTCCTATGAGGAGCAGGAATGAAGCAGCAGCAGAGTAACTTGTTGTCAGAGGGGCTGGCACAGGCATGCGAAAGAGACTTGGGGAAGACTCTCCATGCTCCTGGGTGCTTGGGCACTCCCTTACTTAAGTGACTTGCACAATTGCAAGCAAAAGAATTTGAAAAGAATATTTTGAAATCAATATAAAAAGCACTAGTGATCTGGCTGATTAAAAGGGCAGCCTCCTAAAACTGGACTTTCAGAAAACAGTTTAAAATGCATCTCATCTGGCCCTTTGACAAGGAACCATTCCCTACAGCATAAGCTTCCCAGGCACTGCTGCTTGAGAACCAAAGTCTGTTTTCATTTTCAGGTTTGCAGAAGCAGAACAAGTAACAAACCCCCAAACAGCGGGAAGTAAATGAGTTCTTTCCTGCCTTGCCCATCGAGAAGGTGAGCATCTTGGGGAAGGAGCTGTCTCTGGCTTTGTGTGTGTTCCAGTGGGTCTGATTTTGCTTGTGGCCTCTACTTCGAAAAGCCTCTGTCTGCATACTATAAGGTGGTGTTAGTCACAGAGCTATAAATATTTGTGGTAGTACATGTAAAAATTTTGTGACCTAATGGTGATTATGAGGGAAGCAAGGAAAAGAAGAGTTCCCAGCTCCAGCTCTGTTTGTAATTGGCCTGTTCATTGGCCCAGAGGTACTTTTTAAAATTTATACTGCTGCGCTACCCTCAGTTATATTTGTTCAGTTGTCCATATACAGTAGATAAGAGAGAGGATGAATTTAAATCAACTGGTCCAGACGATCTCCACCCCAGAGTGCTGAGGGAATTAGCAGAGGTCATTGCGGGACCCCTGGCACGGCTTTACGAGCACTCGTGGTGCTCTGGTGTGGTGCCAGAGGACTGGAAGAGGGCCAGCGTGGTTCCCATCTTCAAAAAAGGGAGGAAGGAGGACCCAGGAAACTATAGGCCAGTTAGTCTTACCTCGATCCTGGGGAAGCTTTTTGAGAGAATTATCCTGGCACTTGTCCACGAGGGACCAGCAGGGGAGATTATGCTTAGAGGCAACCAACACGGGTTCATTAGAGACAGGTCCTGTCAGACCAACCTGGTGGCCTTCTACGACCAGGTCACCAAATCCTTAGATGGGGTAGCAGTGGATGTAGTCTTTCTGGACTTTAGGAAGGCTTTCGACACTGTCTCACACCGTTCTCATTAAAAAACTAGGAGACTGTGGCATCAACACCTACACACTCAAATGGGTCACTAACTGGCTGGAGGGTCACACCCAGACAGCAGTGGTGGATGGGTCATTTTTGACCTGGAGGGATGTGGGCAGTGGGGTCCCCCAGGACTCAGTCCGCAGGCCCGCACTGTTCAACATCTTCATCAGTGACTTGGACGAGGGGGTAAAAAGCACCTTGTTCAAATTTGCAGATGACACTAAGATGTGGGGGGATGTGGGCATGCTAGATGGGAGGAATAGGCTG